TATGTTTAAACCATCTTAAAACCATAGTTGTGGGGTCAGAGCCATAGTACAGAGAGTAAGGCTTTTGCCTTGCATGTGACCAACTTGGATTCAATCCCTGGCATCCCATACGGTTCTCCTGAGCACCTTCAGGAGTGATTCCTATGTGCAAAGCTGGGAGTAACCCCTTTGCATTGCCAGATGAAGCAAACAATCATTCCGTACTAGCAAGTAACTCGTAGATTCTAGATTCTATGGCACTGGAGTACTATACAATTCTGTAGATAAGATACAGTTAAATAAATGAGCGAGAAATTAGAGATTTTGAGATCAAAACCATCTGTATGTCACTAAAATCTGTTTTGTGACCTCTTTAGCTCCCAATAACTTCTAAACCTTAATAGAAGTAAAACCAATAAAGATCCAGATTTTACAAGATTTTTTTATAGACTTACAAACTTTCGTGATTATGTTTCAGTCATGCGGTGTTCGAGTACCCATCCCTCCACCAGTATCCATTCCCTACCACCAATGTTCTCAGTATCTCTCCCGCCACCCCCACCCTTTTCCCACCCCCTGCCTCTGTGGCAGGCACATCCCCTCTTACTCTCTCTCAGGTGTTATGGTTTGAATTCAGTACTACGCAGTCCTCATGTTTGGTTCATAGCCAACTTTCAGCATGCATCTCCCATTAAAAATCCAGATTTTAAAGAGAAATTCTTTTTTTTGTTGCGGTCATGACTGGGCTCAGAGGCTAAGCCTGGAGTGTTCAGAACTAAGCCGAGGGCCTCCCACACATAATACTTGCTACCACTTGAGTTACATCCCTGGCCTGAATTTTTCGCTAATTAAACTATTTCTCAGTTCAGAAAAAGATTGGGATCTTTTTACACAGTAAACTTTTACAACATATTTAAATGTCTAAACAATGGGAAGGCAACTTCTGAAAATGACTTCAGAGACTCTCCTATGGATTATGTGTGTATAGGCCTGTGACCAGAGAATGAACCCAGGGCTCCACATATGCAAAGCTAGTGCTTTATTTTTTTTGTAATTATTTTTATTTACAAAGAGCTGCTCATAGTAACTGATTACATTCAATATTTCAACACCAGTCCCTACACCATAACACCTTCCCACCGCCTTTATTTCATGTTTTCCCACCACCATCCAAACCTACCCCAAAGGTGGATGCTAAATAATACTGCTTGTTATGAATAACTGACTCAGTGCTCTTTTTATAAAACAATAAGAAATCACCAAATATTAAGACAACATTCACTATTTACAGCTGGGATAGTGTTTTTCAAACTTGGCTAATAAAAATCATTGGGGAGTATCTTAAAAATAAACGGTCCTCAATGATTATAAATAGCACCAGAGATGTCGTACAGGAAGTAACTTGCCTTGCTCCTGGCGGATATCTGGTGGTGCTCAGCACATCTCTCTGAACATCACCAGGAAACGATGCCAGGAGTAAACCCTGAGCACTGCTGGGCATGTCCTTCCACAAAATAAACTAAAAGGTGTAGGTTTCACGCCAGTTTTACTGAATCAGACTCTCTGGTGTGTGATCTCAAATTTATATAAAACTTTCCAGGGTTGTCTAATGAATAACTAGATTTCAGAAAGAACTATTACTCTGACCTTAACATTCTACAAATAAATAAACGGAGGACCTTAAAAAGGGGGTGGGGGGGCTTACCTAAAGGGATACAACTTGTAAGTAGCTCGGTAGGTTGGAAACACAATCTCCTGTCTCCCTAATGTAAGTAAAGTAAAGGCCCTCCCGTTGATCATGGATTTGCTCGAGCGGGCCCAGTAACGTCTCCATTGGAGACTTTGTTGTTACTGTGTCTGGCATATAGAATACTCTATAGGGCTGGAGCAATAGCACAGCAGGTAGGGCGTCTGCCTTGCACGCAGCCAACATGGCCGACCCGAGTTCGATTCCTCCGCCCCTCTCGGAGAGCCCGGCAAGCTACCGAGAGTATTCGATATGCTCCCTAATGTAATGCTTTAATAAATCAAAACTACTATTTTTGGCAAAGCTGTACTTTACTGCTGAGCCCTGTCCACTGGTTACTTACTATTCCCAAGTAACTTAATTCCCTGATGTGAAAAATGGGAATAAGAAAATGCCTTTTTCTTGAGAGGCTAGACGATAGTTGAATAATACTCACTAGCTAACGCACTTAATATGCCTGACTATACCAAATGCTCATTAGATAGGATACATAGCCCAATTAAAACAACAACAAAACAAACAAACAAAAAAGAGACAGGGGAGGCGGCAGGAGGGGTGAGGAGCGGACCCGGGGCTCCGAGCGGGAGCTAGAAACATTCAGATGGCAGATAACAGTTTTTCAGATGGTGCTCCTTCGGCTTCTGTGGAAGCTGCAAAAAATGCAAGTAATACAGAAAGGCTCACAGATCAGGTGATGCAGAACCCCCAGGTTGGCGGCGCTGCAGGAACGACTGGACACGGTCTCCCACATGTCTTCAAGCTACATTGAGACTTTACCTAAAGCAGTGAAAGGCAGAATTAATGCATTGAAACAACTTCAGGTCAAATGTGCTCGTATGGAAGCATACGAGTTCGACGAAGAAGTTCACGACTTGGAAAGCAAGTGCGCGGCTTTGTACCAGCCTCTCTTCGACTAGAGAAGGGAATTCATCCCTGGGGATGTGGAGCCCACGGACGCCGCGTCGGAGTGGCACAGGGAGAACGAAGAGGAGGACAAGCTGGCTGGAGATGTGAAAAACAAAGTCGTCACAGCGGAGAAGGAAGTGGCGAGGCAAGGAGCCCAAGCCCAGGGGCATCCCCGAGTTCTGGGTCACCAGCTTCAGACACGCGGACACGCTCGGGGAGTTGGTCCAGGAGTACGACGAGCCTATCCTGAAGCGCCTGCAGGACACCAAGGTCAAATTCCCTGACCCCGGGCATCCCATGGCTTTTGCACTGGAGTTCCACTTCGAACCCAACGACTACTTCGCCAACTCAGTCCCGACGAAGACGGACAAGAGGAAGTCGGAGCCGGGTAAGACTGTCCCCTGTTCCTTCGAAGGCCCCGGGGCAGTCAACTGTGACGGGTGCAGCATCGACCGGAAGAAGGGCACGAACGTCACCGTGAAGACCATCAAGAAGCAGCAGAAGCACAAGGGCCGGGGCACCGTCCGCACCATCCCCAAACCGTTGCCCAGCGACTCCTCCTTCGACTTCTCCAGCTGGCTCAAAGCCTCTGGGGCCGGAGAGTCACTGCACGAAGACTCGGAGTTGGCGCTGGCCTGGACTTTGAGAGCGGCCACTGCTTCCGCGAGCCGACCGTGCCCGCGCCGTGCTCCTCTTCGCGGGGAGGCCATCGAGGACGATGACAACTTCGAAGAAGGCGAGGAAGGAGAAGCGGAGGCACTGGAGGGTGATGCGGAGGGAGGAGAGGAGGAGCACGCGGCGGTGAGCCCCAAGAGGGAGCCCAGCCAGCCCTCGGGGTGCAAGCGGCAGTGAGCCGCGCTGGGGGCGAGCCCCGCTGTCAAGTGCATGGCTTTCCTCTCGCCTTCCCTTGCTCTCTCTCGGTTATTTTGGTGACCTGGACAGAGACGTGCAGCTCGGCGGACCCCAGCCCCTGCCCTGGGGCCCGTAGACCGTGTGGGAGTAGCCACAGGCCTCACGGCCGACCAGCCAGTGGACTCCACGGGGAGGCGCCCAGCCTCGCGCGGGTCTCCCGGCCCTGTCCCGGAGCCAGGCCCCTCGTACTATTTATCGCTTTCCGCTTGTGCGGGCTCAGGCCGCCCCGGGCTGGTCTGGCCGGGACTGGGGCGGCGTGGCCAGCGGGTCTGCGCGCGTCCCGGCGGGGCGAGGCGGCCCCGTTTGTAATAGACCGTGTTTCCATTTGGACAGGAGAGTTCGAGTATTCGAGAGAGAAAAAAGACAGGGGAGCGCGCATTTCCCTTCCTCAAGGAGGATTCACAGAACCAGTCCCGGGTGAAAAAGAAGCCGCTTTCGCTTTTAAGTGCCGGACTCAGGGCAGGATGAAGGTCAAGAACTCGCCCAGTTCCCCGCAGACCCAGGCTCTCCCGGGATGTCTCGGAGTTACGCAGCGCACCGATTTGGGGGGAGGATCAGGAATCTGGCGTCTCGACAGCAAGCCCGACTAGGGGATCTGTCGCCACAGCCACGGGGCGAGACCCAACCTCGCCCCGAGCCACGACGCCCCACAAGGAAGCGCGCGGCGTGGCCAGCTCCCGCTACGACAGCGGCGGGAGCCGAGCACGGTCGCGGGAGTGCTCGGGGCGCTGCACGCAGCAGCGCGGAAGGCCACAAGCGCGTCTCTTGGTTCCCGCGCCCGGGCGGCCGCGGGCAGTCCAACTCAATCCAGCCGCGCCAGAGCTGAGGGCAGCGCGGGGCGACCTTGAACCCAGAAGCGGACGCGCACGGCGCCCGGAGGTCAAGGCGCCGCGGGCCCGGCCGCCCCCCGCCCCCGCCCTTCGCGGGCCGAGGCCGGAAGCGCGGGCCGGGCCTGCCGGGAGTCCTAGTGAAGGACGCCGCCCCCTGCGTCCGGCGTCGACCCCCTGCCCGCTCCCCGGGAGAAGCGGGCGCCCCGGTCCCCAGCGGAGGCCCGCGCGCGACCGGCGCGCTCGACTCCGCCCCTGCCCCGGCGGACCCGCGCCCCGGCGCGCCGGACGCCGCGGGCCGGACTACAAGTCCCAGGAGGCCGCGCGCGGCGCCCGGCGCGCCCGGGCCGGCGGCCGCCCGAACGGCGCGTCGGGCGTCGGGCGAGGCGCGCTCCCCGCGACGCGACCGCTACCTGCCCGAGCGTGAGTGCGGGCCGCGGGCCGGGCGCGCGCGCGCGCGGGGAGGGGGCGCGGGCGGGCGCGGGGCGGCGGCCGGGGCGGCGGCGGCGCGCCGGAAGGTCCCGCGCCCGGGGCCGCCGAGCGTCGTGGCGGCCGCCGGGGACGGCGCGCGGCGGCGGGGCGCGGGGCGCGGCGGGGCCCGCGCCGGGCCCGCGGGGCCGCGGCCGAGCATGCCCCGGGACGGCGTGGCCTCCCTCATCCAGCGGGTCGCGCGCCAGGCGCGCCTCACCTTCCAGGCCGGCGCGGGCGGCCGGCGCGGCGAGCCGCCGGGCTTCCCGGAGAACCTGAGCCGGCTGCGGGGCCTGCTGAGCCAGGTGCGCGCCGAGGACCTGAACATCGCGCCGCGCGGGGCCGCGCCGCAGCCGCGGGCCCCGGGGCTGCCGCCCGTCACCTACATGCACATCTGCGAGACCGAGGGCTTCAGCCTCGGCGTGTTCCTGCTCAAGAGCGGCGCGTCCATCCCGCTGCACGACCACCCCGGCATGCACGGGCTGCTCAAGGTGCTCTACGGCACGGTGCGCATCAGCTGCCTGGACGCGCTGGGCGCCGACGCGCCGCGGCCGCGGGCGCCGCCGCCCGGGCAGCGCTTCGAGCCGCCGCTGCGTGCGCGGGAGCTGGAGGCCGTGCGGGCCGGCGTGCTGCGCTCCCGGGCCGAGTACACGGCGGCCAGCGCGCCCTGCGTCCTCTCGCCGCAGCGGGACAACCTGCACCAGATCGACGCCGTGGGCGGGCCCGCCGCCTTCCTGGACATCCTGGCGCCGCCCTACGACCCCGCAGACGGCCGCGACTGCCACTACTACCGGGTGCTGGAGCCCCTCGGCGCGCCGCCCCAGGCCGCCGCCGCCGCCGAGCTGCCCCGGGAGGTGTGGCTCCTGGAGACGCCGCAGGCCGACGACTTCTGGTGCGAGGGGGAGCCCTACCCGGGCCCCAAGGTCGCCCCCTGAGGTCGCCGCGCCACCAGGTCGGATCTCTCGCCCTTGAGGGCCCCCGCCCGTGCCCCGCCCGCCAGGCCGGCACGCGGGGCCCTGTCACTGCCACCAGACCTGGGGGGGCTGAAGCGCCTCCATCCCAAAGCCATGGCGAAGAGACTCTTCCTGCCGTTCTGCATCCTACACAAAATACACTAAACGATCCCCCCCGCCCCCCCCCCCCCCCAGGTAAACAGAGTTTGCTTGTCCACTGTCCTCCGCTGGCCATCTCCTTACTACCATCTTTAACTTATTGACCGTGCGTGACTCGGTTGTTCAAGTTGTTCTTGGGTTCCAGCCATTGGTCGAAAGCTGACTTTCAAAGCTCAACGGTTTGAATCGAATTGTCCTGTCCAGTTGCTTTTGAAAATCAGCTCTTTTTTCTCAACTTGGGAACGCACCCCCAGGATACAGCTGCTCGTGCAGAGGACGAAATGTACTTTCGCTGTCTCTCTCGGACCATCTCTGGTTCATTGGGCCAGCGTCTGTCTATTGAGGTACTTCAACACCTGTGTTGCTCAGGTACAGATGGTCGCTTATAGCTCCCCACCAACCTCCAAATGGGAGTTGAGCAGAGCTAGAAACTCACCCTTAATGCGAAGGATCTTCCAAGTGACTTTCATTCTAGTGTAAAATACAGTTCTCTGTCTTAACCAGAAGATTCAGAGACGCAGGATCAGTCTGCTTCCAAACTTTTGAATGTAACACACCTCTAGCCAGCTGTTGAATTCCGTTCCCTTTTTCACTCTTGGGAAAAATACTATGTTGATGGCTTGAAATTCTCTCAGTGACTTCACATGTTCCAGAGATTCGATGCTTCCTTCTGCTTTGCTCAAGGGGCCGGGTTCTCAGAACCCTCAGGAAAAGGAGTCAGAGCCTGCTTGCTCTAGTTTGTCAGAGTGGGAAGGCAGTATGATCGGCTTAAGGGGATTGAGAATTAACTGTTGCTTGCCATCCAGTGGCACCCAAACATGGTACAAAGTCGTTCTCCCAGTTTTTGAGACGTTGTGCTGTGACTGGTTTTATTATTACTATTTTTTTTGCATCAGCTGAGCAGTTTTTCCTCATGCACAAATACAGTGACATCATTTGCTTTAAACCATGGAACCCTGTTGTTTCCCACTTTTTTTACTATTTACAGGATTTTGTTGTTCACATACTATAAAAAATTAAACTGTAGAAATAGACACTACAGTTTTTTCAACTGCTCTCGAGGCCCTCTGGCTTGACTTGCCCCAGTGGCTCTCAAGTTCGAATATCTCTAATAAAGGAAGATTTGCTAGTAATAGGAAGTCTTAAACCCTGTCCTGGAAACTGTATTTACATTTAAACCTCTTTTACTATGCACACAGGGCTCCATCAACCCTGAAAGAATTTTTTTTCTCCCCAATTTAAAAAACAATGTAAAAGCAAATTCTTGGTGAGTGATTTTTTAAAACAAACTGATGCCTATTCAAGGTTGCATACCAATGTGTTGTAAACCTGACACTGGCATAATGCCAAGCATTTCCTCCGGGGTTGCTAAAATGGTTTTATAGTAGCCTCACATTCTGCTGGTTTACTATGCCTTTGGGGGTAGTTTGAAGCTATTCTTTACCAGTTAAGTTTAAAAATAAATTCTGGATATGCAAATGATTATCATTTGTGAGAAGTTTTCACAGTGTGGGTTCCTCTCCTACTATAGTTATGAATTTATATGGTTAGCAATCATATACTTAGCTGTTTTGAATTGTAGCAAAGTTGATTAATTTACAAAGATTATTGATACTGATGTATGTGTTCCTAATATAAGCTGGAATAGATTAGACTTGCAAAGGTTCATTCTGACAGAATAATAATAAAGGAAGATATTTTTTTCCTTAAATTTTATTATGAAAAGTTCCTAAGTACAAGTGAGTTGGTTGAAGAGAGTTAAGGTGCTTTTCACATAAAACTATCTGAAATTTTGCATGCCAAAATAGCAATATGAGATCTCTAATTTAGTTCAATAAGAACAATGGAACTTTTAGTTCACTTAAATTCTGAGTAATGTGAAAGTAAGATGTAACTTTTACTACACTGCTAATGAAAGCATAATCTTATTACAGACAGAACGTGGTGCAAAAAACCCTTGCACATTTCTGCATAAACTGTTAGTTATGATTGACTTCATGCGCTGCTACTGTGTTATATGTATTCCTGCCACATAGACTATTCAATACATCTATGGGAAAAAGTTGTCTTCCCTTCCTAAAGACTAATGAGCACAATGATACTTAACACTTTTCTGTTGAATAACTAATGCAATAATCGCCTCTCATGGGTGAGTTGTCTGTCTGCTATAAAGCTTTTAAATTATCTGGTGATATCAATGGCCAATTATGTCAATGAAGAATATTGTATGCCTGCCTACTTTTTGATGAGAATCGATTTTTCCTCGCCTGAGTGGCATGAATTAAGTTTACATCCATCAATTGCTATTTATTAATGAAAAGTGGTGGTCTCTATTTTTTCAGTAACACTTTTGTTAATGGGAGTGGGTTCTCTGACCTTTCAACACAAATAGCCCTTACAATCTTCTAAAACACACATACTTGATCATGGTCCCCTTGTAGGTGCCTTGGTCTTGGCACCTGATAAGGACCCATTCATCTAATCTGGTGACTGAATTTTGTGCTCTAGCTCTGCTTTTCAAAAAAAAAATATGTGTGTGTGTGTGTGTGTGTGTGTGTGTGTGTGTGTAAATTCAAGACATACTGCCCATTGCAACTCTGCAAAAGTGCCACTCCTGTAACTCCCCTGGTCTGAAATCAGAACTTGCTGGTTACAAACAGTCTGACCACTGATCACTTGATTGCAGTGAGCCTTCTGTTGTTGAAGAAGTGAAGCATTTGTTAAGCCCCACACAGGTACTGAATCTTCAGATCCAGAGATATTTACAATTCTGGATTATGATTATGGAAAATAAAGGCATGTTTGAAATTGTTTAGAAGCAAATCTTGATTATTGCAAAATGAAAAAGAAAAATTTTACTTGCTGGGATGCCTACAGTTTTTTTTCATGCTATAAAATTATTTTCTTAAAACTGGTGACTTTTTGCAGATTCTAAAATCCATTAAGGTTTATAGTTTATTTCTTTTGAGCTGAGCTTTTAAACTGAAAGCACGTCTAAGACTAATATCTTGATACTTTGCTATGCAGAAAAAAAAATTGTTTTTATACCTAAACCAAAGAAAAATAGGCTGGTATGAGAAAACTTTCAGTGACTTTCAGTAGCAAAGAAAGAATCTTTTGGACTTAGTAATTTTCTTTTTTGGTATAATGTTTAATTGTACTTCGGACTGGCAGCCTTTTCAGCACTTATGTTGATACTGACCTTCCTCACCCTCCCCCAATCCCAAACTCTGTTGGACTGTTAAAATGCCACTGTAGATACTTGTAATATGGCTACAATAAAATTCCCATCATGTCATTAATAGGATATTAAAATTAAACAGCCTGGTTCATGAACAGCTTAAAACCATGTTTAGGGAGCTAAGCAGTAGCCCAGAGAACAGTGGTTAAGGCGCTACCCTCGCTCACAGCCGACCCAGGTTTGAACCCAGGGAGCATCTAGTTCCGGAGCAGGGTGAGGAGTATCCAGAACAGCTGAGTGTGATACCCCCATCCCCAAAATCGGTTAATAAACCTGTTTGGAATAACTGCACCATCAGTAGTACTATTCAGGAAAGCATATTGAATAGAAGAAGCAGACTTATCTTTATGTGCTTTATTTCTAGAACAAAATTAAAAATGTCCTAGGGTTAAAAAAAACTACCCTGAATACTTGAAGAAAAGAGTAAAATCTGATTAAAGATGGACTGAGCTCAAGGCCTAAGAGCCACAAGGTTGGCTCCGACAATACACAGGCACGTACCAAGCCCATTTCAAGGTGGAAGTAATTATATAAAGTTTCAGAATGCTTCAGTCTTTACCAAAAAATTAAGTTTGAAAACTATTGCTTGTAAACAAGTATTTACATTTTAATTGAAGATGCTCTGAAATTCAAATTTGGCGAGACAACTTTTAAAATTTAGGTGTGTATTTTTAAGTGTTTTAGGTAAGTGCCCATTAAAAATATAGAGCTATTAAAATGTGGCATATATTTTTAAAATTGGCCAAATGAAGATAGTACTCTGATAAACTAAGAAATAGGAATCTATTGGGAACACTGCCAGTCAGAAATATCTATTTAGGAGTTACAGTATTCTGCATTTTGAAATATAAAAGAAGGATGTAAAAAAAAAAAGGATTAACACAAATTACATTCAAATCCCAGTGTGCAAAGGACAAAAGGTCATAGTTTCCAGGAGACACTATAATATTCTAAAACTTATGACATCAGTCATCAGCCATGTCTGAAGGAGTTTAGCAGTGACAGAGCAGACAAGCTCTGGCTAAAGAGTGGTGCTCCAACATGCTACGGTGAGAATCCAGATGCAGTAGAGGAATTAAAAACCTTTAGGCTCAATTTTTTTTTCTTAAGGTACCTGGCTTTATAATGCTGCTAATACTTTTCCCATGCATATGTAAGCCAATACCACACCCATCAGCAGAGAACCCGCTTCCCTCCACCAGTGTCCCAAGGATGACTCCTGACAACCACAGTCCTGCCTGACGTGTAAGCTCAGTTTCACAGACAAACTCTTCAATTCCAATACTTTGACTATTTTTGTTCCTTTCTTTTTTATTGTGGACACCTAAATACGTGTAAATAGAGGTAATCTAAAATTCCACAAAATTGTAAATATGTTGATAAATTTTTTCTAAAAACTTATCTTTTTTGGAGGCATACAATTGAAAATTTATGAATAATCCTGTGCTAATGCATTTCAAAATTTATGTGAAATAGTTAAATCCAACAAATATAAAATTTAGAGTAAGGAAATTTAGTAAAAAAAAAAAAATCCGAATAGGCCTCCTATAGAAGTGTTTTATCCGAAGAAAGGGAATATTGGCTTTATACTAGAAAATACAATATTATATGTATTGCTTAAATGTATTAGAATGTTTAGGCCCTATTTTAAAGGTAACTTACAAAAAATGTTTTGTATGGTATGTTGATAAATACATTCTTGGTGAATTTTTATTTTTATTTTAAAATCATTTTTAAGCTCTTTAATGTTTTATTTTGCAATCCATTTTCCAGTACCAGGGAGGATCAGATTCACATATTCAGACTGTCTCCCTTTTGAGATTCTCTTCAGAGGACTGTACGCTTATCTAATGAGATACCAGTATTTTGATAATTTTCTTGGCCAGCCAAACCTATAGCATTGTAATGATCTTTCCAAATACAGATAATCAATTGGGGGGAGAAATGAGTCCTGGGGTAATTCCTTTAGCAATCATTAATGCCGTCATCAGCAGCGTCTGAGAGCGTTTTTGATCTAAAGAGGAGATAGTGATTTTCAAAAAGTTTTCTGTGGTCTCGAGACTAATCCTGTAACCTGAAAGTCATTTCCAGCTTGAAAATGCCACCACACTTTCCACAAAGCCACATCTCTGAGTGCCTGGCCCTGGTCAGGGTTCTGCAAGCAGCCGCAAGTGTGTAGTCTCCGAGTGGGCTCTTGTTAGTAAGTATTTATTTTCCGGAGCCCACTCAGGAGCAGAGAAAAGCTATAGGCTGTGAGAGAGTGCGGAACAATGAGTCAAAACAATGCCGCCTCCCCACTTTTATGCTGAGGCCGAGGGGGAAATCCCCCTGAGCAGCCTTTGATTTTGAATGGAGATTGCTTTGGGGTAAAGAACTGATGCTGGCAGATTAGCGGCAAAGAAAACGTGGAGACCTTGACTGACTTAATCGGAGCACTAGAACCCACTGGTGCTGAGTATTCCATTTTTTGGTCTATTTCACTTGTCTCACAGCTGCGAGACAGTTGAATGCTCACCCAGTCAATCTTTGATAAATGATCCTGCAGCAAAAAGTATTGTTGAAAAGTATTTATTTACACTATCGTCATAAACCATCCATTATCTGAACGTCAGTTAGTGGTTTGAGTTAGAATAAATCATTTGTACTTCACAACTATTAAGAGCTAATAACAAACAAGTCAGCTCCAGTAACGTTATTTACATTTTCATCTGTAATTTGACTACAAAGGTAACACTTTTAAGTCACAAAACAGCATACAAAAATATACTTTCTAAAAAAAATTACAAATATTAATAGGCAGAAATATACAGCCATACTAAACCCAAGGAGTGATTTTTTTTTCCATAGTAAGGCAACCCATTTACATGCAGACCCTGTAACATTGTCTACAGCACACAAGGCACCAAAGGACACGTCCAACACAATTACATGCATCCAAGTTCCAGATAATATATGTACATACCCCTTTTAAATAAGTTAACCTCTGACTAATTTCAAGAGATCATAAATGCTTTTTTTTTCCCAAAGGTTCAAAACTTGGAGAACAGTGCACATCAAAAATACACAAAATCTGAATGGATATACACTGGAAAAATAGTCTACATTTCTCAAACAACTCAAAAAGGAGCAGATATTGCTACGTCCCTCCCATCACATTGCACGTCTGTTCTCTGAGTTTATGATACATATTGCTTAAAGGGTCGCGACGACTAGACAAGCCGATTCCCTGTTCAGGGCCACGGAATGCAGCACAAAGGCCTGCTTCTCTCTCTGTACAGCACCCCCCACACTAGTCCCAAGCCATAAAGTGCACGTCAGTCTTGCTTCTCCTTTGGCTGTCCCCACCTCAAGGGACCAGCCTCTCCCAACCCACTGCAGAAAAAGTCTCAGATTAACCCTGACAGCCAGAGTCAAAAACCTGCAACCAGCCAGAATCAGAGGAAGGGGGTGGAGGAGGGGGAGCGAGACCGAGTCGAGCCTGCCCTCAAGCAGGGCCAGATCTTAGCCCTCTAGACCAGGCCCCCATCCCCACATTCTCTGAGCCTCCCCAGCGTGCTGGGGTGATCGGCTCACCTACCAGGGAGGACGGGGTGAAGTTTTGGAAGGGCCTGCTCTGAATGGGGGGGGGGGGGGCAGGTGCTGGGCTCCAGCAAAGCCAAATGCCCAAGGAAGGGAGGGAAGCCGGGAAAGGTGGTAGTGTTTGTTGTGTAGTTCGACTGGACGAAGGGCCAGGGGGCCACCGGACGATGGTGACGCGTAGGCCTGAGTCTCGTCTCAAGGGGTCCGGGTCCGAGAGGAGCAAGGCGCCAGGGGCCCTCCGCCAATGGTGCTGTTGCTGCTGCTGCACAGGGGGCCCCCGGCCTGTGGAGCCCCCGGACAGGAGGTGGTGGAGGCAGCCGGCATGGACGATGGGGGGGCGCTGCTCTTCCGCTCCTTCTGCCGCAGGTGGATCTTGGTGTGGCGCTTCCTCTCGTCGCTCCGGGCGAACTTGCGGCCACAGTAGTCACAGGCAAAGGGCTTCTCCCCGGTGTGGGTGCGGATGTGGGTCGTGAGGTGGTCGCTGCGGCTGAAGTTGCGCATGCAGATCCGGCACTGGAAGGGCTTGTGCCCTGTGTGGATGCGGATATGCCGCGTCAGCTCATCCGAGCGGGAGAAGCGCCGGTCACAGCCTTCTGCTGGGCACGGGTAGGGTCGCTCGTGCACGGGGGTCTTGCTGGGCCTGTTGGGGTACTTTCGAGGCCGCAGAATAGGCCGCAGCGGCAAGTGGTGTGGGTTATAGGCGGCGGCGGCCGCAGCTGCTGAGCTACTGCCTGGCAGCCGGGGTCCCTCGCTGCCTCCACTGGCCCCCGGGCCTGCAGCCCCGCCACCGGGCCCCGTCAGGGTAAAGTTACGGATGGTGGAGAGTGGAGTGAGTGGAGGGGGGACCCGGAGGGAGTCCAGAGGACAAGGAAAGGGCTTGCGGTCTGGGCCGGCTGTGCCATGGAGGTCTCTCTGGCACTGTGGTGGAAAAAATCCAGGGTAGTCTGGGATCATGGGGAAGAGACCTGGGTCCGCTGCTGGCTTGGGGGACGGGTAGGAGGGAGGCGGAGGGTAGGCCAGCGAGGAGGAGCTGGAGGTGGTGGCTGCTGACAGGAAGGCCGAGGGGTCCTGGTAGAGCTCTCCTGCTGCACAGCCCGAATAAGGAGGCGGTGGCGGCGGCGAGTAGAGATGGTCCAGGTCGGGCTGGGCCTGGGACATGGTGCACACACCCAGGGGGCCTGTGGCCAATGGGTTGGGCGAAGCAGAAGTGACGCTGGATGAGGCTGTGGTCGAGGCCGGGGAAGTGACCCCTTGCAGGATACCTGCACTCACGATATTAATAATGCCTTCTGGGTAGCAGCTGGCACCAGGGTACTGGGGGTCAATGGAGAACTTGCCCATGTAAGTGAAGGTCTGGTTCCTGGGTGCAGAGACGGGAGCAAAACTGCTGGGGTATGTGAGATCCAAGGACCTCTTCTCGCCAGTCATGTCAATGTTGATCATGCCATCTGCAGAGGGGAAAGGAAGAAGGGAGGTGGGGCAATGAGAAAGCGGGCACGCATAGCCGCCTCTCACCCCTGTCACTGGGTTCATTCCGCAGGCCCAACCGCTGGGCTGGGACGGACTCCAACAGGTGGAGAAACTGCAGCCAGCCCGGAGACAGGGACTCTCCCAAATCTCACGGTGGCAGCCGGTGAGAGTCTGGGACCCAGGAGCCACCTCCTGGAAAGCACCATGAGCTACTCCCATCACCGCCCCCCCGCTACACTCACAGCCATCTGTGGCTCCAGTCCCCAATAAAAACACCCAATAATAGAACAACAATATCAAAAATTCTCCATCTGCCTGGCACTTCTCTCCCTCTTCCTTGGCCCGAGGGTCCCACGGCTAGGATCCCGGGACAGAAAGCACCAGGGACACTGCTCCCGGCCAGGGTCGTGAAGGCACCAGCCGGAGAGGCAAGTCCGAGAGCGGGTTCAGTGATTTCCCAGCCGCTGCCCCCGCTTTCATCCCCTCAGTCATAGGCGGCAAGCGGGAATCGCGGGCGCTTCGGGGGGCTCCTTCTGCACAGCTCCCTGCGTCCGCTCCCGTCCCCTCCCCTGGCGCCCGCGCGTGCCCACCCCCGTCCCAAGCCTAGCGGCCGGGTTCGGGGGGAGGCGCGGGGCCCGGGGAGCCGATTTTCCCTGGCATCCTCCAGGCAACCCGCAGCGCCGGTGGTGCCGGGGACCTCCCCATCCCTCCCTCCCTCTCTCCGCACGCCGGGGGCCGCTCCCGGCCGCCGCCTGCGCTCCTGCACCACCTCCACCCCGCCTCGCCAGCCCCCTCGATTGGCAGGCGGCGAGCAGGTGGGAGCGCGCCCTGACGCCGGCTCCCCGGGTCCGCTCCGCCCGCGGGAGCGCGGCAAACGCTTCCCTCCGCCGCGTCTCGGCGGGCGGCTGGCTCGGCGCGCGGCTCCCCTCCCGGGCTCCGAACTTCGCCGGCCCTTCGCCCCGGGCCCGGGAGCCGGGCGGCGGGCGGCGGGCGGCCAGCGTCCCGGGCCGGGCGGGGCACTTCTCCCACGCTCATCCCTGCGTCCGCCGCCGAGCGCCGCGTACCTGGAGCATCAGCCCGCGCGCCGCGCTCCTGCGCCTTCCCAGGCTCCCCGGCCGCTTCTCCGCGCACCCGCCCCGTCTTCAGAGCCGGTGGGCAGCTCCGGCCCCTCGCTCCCCGGACCCGCCGAGCGCTGCACACGCGCCGCACCCCACCCGACACCTCGGAGCTGCGTGGGGTCCCTCCAGCCGGGGGCCGCCCGTCTTACCTCCGGCCACGCCGTTCATCTGGTCGAAAGGGCCTCCCAGGTCGGCATTGGGGAAGATGGTCACCGACGTGGCGGCGAGGTCCTCCACCGGGTAGATGTTGTCGGACAGCTGGTGCACAAAACCACTGAGAGTTACTGGGATTTTGTCTACGGCCTTGGCGGTCATCATTTGCTCCTCGCACAACCTGGAGACCCAACTCCCTCGCTACCTGGCGTGTCAGAGAAGCCGTTTTGGAGCGAGTTGGGCAGAGCCTACGTCTGTGTCTCGTTTGCCCTCCACGCTTAGAAGCAATTACTTAGGAAAAAAATCCAAAAGAAATAAAACTAGCAAACAAGTTGCTGGTCTCGGTGTTTTTCTCTTTCTCTCTTTTGGCCTTGGAAGCAAAAAGCGGCGCTTTGCCACGGCCTCTCTCCCGGGCGCCGGCTGGGGAGCCAGGAGTTGCGGGTGTAGTGTTATTGTAACAGTCAGTGTGTCCCTTCGCCAGCTATTAATCAATTGCGGCTCTCGCTTAGACGGAAAGTGTTGCTCTAAGTATTTATGGGCAGGTCCTCAATGCCCGTGACGTCGCTGCCCATATATGGACTGAGGAACAGGGCTGGGCCAGGCGCCTCGGGCCGTCACCGGCCGATTTGCATACGGCTCGGCGGCGCGGGCGCCCGGGGGTCGCCGGGGGGCTCCGCGCGGGCGGCCCGGTCGGGGGCCGGCCGAGCCTCGGTGCGGGGCGCGGCGCCCGGAGCCCGGCGGGGCGGGGGGCCGCGCGCCGGGGCTGCACCCGCGCGGGAGAGCGGCGGGCCCGGCGCGGAGCCGCCTCCCGGGCGGGGGAATTCCGGGTCCCCGGGACTTGCCAAAAAAGGCGCAGATCCGGCGCCGGCCGCCCCGCCCCGCGGCCCTTGTTTGGGAGCCATTCCGGAAAATCAAACTTCGGAAAGAAACCGAGCGGAGCCGAGACGCGCCAGTCAAACCCCTACCCACTTTCTTGGCAGCGCAAAACCGCAAGCAAACGCGGGCAGCGAATTAAAAAAAAAAAAAAGAAAAAAAGCGGCTCGCGTTCACGGAAGCCGGCTGCTCGTTTTCTGAATTACTTGGTGGAAAGAGGTGGCTGGCGATAAGAATGAATGCGGTCTTGCTTTTTTGGAAAGTCTGTTCTATTTATACAGGAGCGAAAACGGAACAGGTTTGGGGCTGTTTGTTGGGTGAAGTATTTTGGGCACTGGGCGGGGGGCGGCGGGAGGAAGAGGGGGGGCGGTGCTGGAAGGGGGAGAAACCCCGGAGGAGGCGCGGTGCGGGGCGCTCGAGAACCCCCTGCGGGAGACGCCCTCCTCCTCTGCCCGCGCGCGGCCCGCCTCCCTCAGCTGCTGCGCGCCGGGGCGCCGTGCCCGCACGTCTGGGCGGTCGGCGGTGCGGGGGCGTCCAGATGGAGCGTGGACACGCGCCCGTCCCACCGACACGGCGCGCGCGCACACGCACCACGCTCCGCTTCCGCCACGCACTCTCCCCCGCCGCCTCCGCCCACGCCCACTCGCACACCTTACGCTACACCTCCTCGTGGACAGCGCCCGGCCCACGGCGCTGGGCGCTCGGCGCAGCCTTCCGCCCAACCCCCTGCCTGCACCCCCGCGGGCAGCCCGACCCGAGAGCCCCCACTGCGCCGCCGCGTCTCCGCGGCCCCCGAGCTCCGGAACGCGCGCGTGGGGCGGACGCCTCTCCGTTCCCGCGCCCGAGCCGCCCGTGCGCCCGCGGGTCCGCCCCGCCGCGTCGAGCCTCCCACCCCCATCTCCCTCGGCAAGGGAAAGTCGAGACCCCGGCGGAGACGCGTCTGGCGAGTTCCCAAAGCATTTTTCTCCCGAACGTCGGGGCAGACACCGGACCCCAAGGCGGTTTCCGAAAACTTCCCGCGGTCCAGAGGCTGGGGTTCGGGCTCGCAGCGCCGGGCTCCCCGGCCCCCGCCCGGAGACTTGCCCCCGCTGCCCAAGCCCGTGCCCGGCCCGCCGCTCACCCGCCAGCCACCCGGGCCTGGGCGGGGCCCGGGCGACCCCGGGAGCCCGCCGGGCGCTTTCCCGCCCCCCAGCCCGGCGGGAGCCGCGGCGCCACGCAGTGGAGGGACGCGGCGCTGCAGGCGGCGGCCCCGCGCCCACCTGCGGCGCCCGCCGGGTCCTGGCCGGCCGCTGCTGCAGCTCCGCCGCTCGCACGCCGCTGCGGCCCGACCCCGCAACACCTGGGCACCCCGCACTCCCAGCGGCTGACCGTCTTTTAGCACTTGAACGCCCCGAAAACATCCGGGAAAGTTTCCAGCTTGCTCCGTGCGCTCCTTCCCCAAGGCAGACCAAAAGGGAAACAAACAAACAATCGAGCGTGAAGGAAGAAGCCGGGCAGCACGGCTAGCACCTTCGCAGGCCCCGCCGCCCCGAGGACAAAGGTGCCCGGCCCCGCTCCGAAGACGCGAGCAGAAAAGCCGCGCTCTTACCACGTGCGCCAGCCCGCTCCGCCTGCGCTCCGGCCGGTCCCGCGGCCCCCGCGCCGACCACGGGCAAGACGACGCCGCGGAGGGGGGCCCGACTCGCATCTCCAGCCCGGAGCCGAGAGCGGCGGGCGGCGGTGGAGGGGCGCGGGGCGTGCGAGGGGGGCGCGGCCGGCGTCCGAGGCGAGCACCCACCGGCAGCCGGCGCGGGCGCGACTGCGAGCGCTTCGCCCCTCTGCGCGCACGTGGGCGGGCGGCGAGTTGCCGGGGCCGCCCCGCGGCGGGCGCTGCTGCCAAGCCTGCCCGGCCGCCAGCGCCGCCCGGGGGAGCGCCCGGGCTCCCGGTGCCAGGCTGCGGGCGCAGGGGGCAGCGCGCCGGCCGGGGGCGGCGCGGGCGAGGGGCGGGCGCGCCGTCGAGGGCTGCCCCCCCCACCTCCCACGCGTTCCGGAGGAAGGAGGAGGCCGGGGTGCGGGTTCGACTGGGCAGAGGCGAGGGTGCTCGGCCCGTCCGAGAAGCCGTTCGAGTGAGCGTCAAGCGACCGCCCGGGACAATCCGGAGCTTTCTAGAGACTCGCGCCTCCCTAAGAGGTAGGGGGCGGGGGGCTTGGGGCAAGTAGCGGCTGCAGGGGGCCAGAGCGGCGCCCGGGAGGTGCCCAGGGCCAGTCCCGGGAGGCCTTCCCTGAACCTCTGCTGGAAACGGGTCAGTAGACATTTCCTGTAACCTCCTTTCTTTTCTTTTTTTCCTTCCTTCCTTCCTTCCTCCCTCCCTCCCTCCCTCCCTCCCTCCCTTCCTTCCTCCCTTCTCTTTCTTTCTTTTCTTTCTTTTTTCCTTCCTTCCTCCCTCCCTCCCTTCTTTTTCTTTTTCTTTTTCTTTCTCTCTTTCTCTCTTCCTTCCTTTTTTTTTTTTTTAAAGATTGTAATGCAAGGAGTTGGAGAAACAACCATTTCAAGCCCGTCACCCTGAGTTCAGATAGGTGAGCAGTTCAGACACTAACGTGAGCCGCCAAAGTCACGCAGCTGGTACATACGTGGCAGTGTCCGAACTTGCCTTGGCTTTTCAGTGCGCTGCTTGCTCCATCCTTTGCGCAGGGAAATCCGGTCCGCAGAGCCTGACTCAACCTACCAGAGAACACATACGTTCACCTTCAACATCTTCCCCCCCCCCCACCTTGGCATTTCTGTGGAGAGGAAAGCTGGAGTGAGGGGTCCAGAAGGACAAGACACTGCCATGGACACCCCCTAGCCTCCAGATTGAAGGAAGAATTTGGGTTCTTGGGTCATCCAGATACAGCTCCTGAGTGGAAGGACCAGACAGACTAAACCGGCACACCAAGAGACCCCGTAAGAGGAGCCAGACTCACAGTCTCCTTCCAGGAGGGGCAAAATGAGCGAAGAGACAGAAACTCCATGGGTGTTTGCTGAAGAAGAAAGTGGGGGGGGGGGTTGGAGAAAAGGGGCAGAAAGTGGCAGCTGAATGAATACAGACACACATACACTCTGGTCTTTATTTTTTGGCACTTGAGCTTTTTCTCATCAAAAACTGAACAAACAAATGTCTTTCTTTAAACTGGAATTGTCAAAATGCCCAAGATGTTATTAAAGAGGTTATTAAAGAGCAGCGCATGGGTGCCAGGGTCTGATTTGCTTTGTCCCAATTCCAGACCCAGAAAGTAGAAGAGGAAGGAAGCAGAGGAGCCCTTTGGTAGACTTGCTCACACAGGAGGGGGACTTGATGGGCAACCAGAGGGGAGTCAGCCTGTGGGTCTGCGCTGGCCTCAGAGTTCTCTCAGCCATTTTCAGAATCCCCCCCCCACTTTGCCATTAGGCAGGTCACCAATAATCTACTAACATTCACATTTTGATTTATTAGGAATTGGCTTAACAGTTGTGTAGACTAGTCCTGCTTCATGAATTTTCTGTCTAGTACTGGGAGGAAAAGGAGGATCACGAAATATCCTCAACTCTGTGTATGCCCATAGGTATGGCTCCCTAACTCCAGTAACGCTGGGCCTGTGCTTCTCAGTGAAAATCAGGTTAATTGCTGACTCTTCCAACCAGTCGACCGTTTTTAAAGGTGCCCTGTGAACTAAGAACATTGACAAATTATTCTTAGATTCAGCCTCTCACTACTAATCAGTCTGATAATCCCAGGTAATTTCTGGTAATTTCAGCTACACCTCTGCCCAAAGGAAGCACTGATTTTCACTAGTCCAGTGTGCAAATGAAGTCACGTTTCACTGCACACATAATGTGGAGAAGAGAAATAAAACACTGCAGTATTATTTGGTAGAGGCAGCGCTAGTTTATGGATAAGGTGCTCAGGTTCCCTGTGAGATGAACTATCAAGAAGTTAACAGATGTTTCTTGAGCAAAGACCATTTGTCAAGCTCCAGGCTAAGCAGAAAATACAAAAATTGCCTAAAGTCAGGTCTTGGAGCTTGTCACCAATCCTACAAATATACAGTTTCAAACAGTACAATATTTGACCCCAGTCAAAAGGCAAAGGACCCAATCAAGTTTTAAAAAGTTGAGGAAGCTGGGGCCAGAGGGATAGGTCAGCAGTTAGGGCGCTTACCTTGCACGAATGAAGCCGACCCAGGTTTGATCCCAGGCAGCGTATATGGTCCCCCAAGCATTCCCAGGGGTTATTCCTGAGTGCATACGCAGGAGTTACACCTGTGTATCACTGGATGTGACCCCACAACAAAATAAGTTGAGGAAGGTTTCTCTAAGCAGAGATGTGAAAGATGTGCAAGGACTAGGGAGAAGGTCACTAGAAACGTTACCAGGAAGAAAGTGTGTGTGTGTGTGTGTGTGTGTGTGCGCGCGCGCGTGCGTGCGTGTGTGTGTAAACCTGCAGGTTGCCTTTCACGCCTAATATACTGAGGCCTAGAGGACCAGTGCAGACAGCACTCTTCTGCCACATGCCCTCATCCAGCCCCTAGGAGATTTTAACCTTTATGGCCCTCTTCTTTTCTCTGCCATCGTCTTCTCTGGCTAATTATAGAAGCATTCTAATTTTTACATTGAGTTGTTTTTTCAATTGATTTTTTTTTTTGTAAAACCACTCAGCTCCTGCAAAAGAATGAGAACTTTCCATAGGTTTTTGGCAGGGAGAAAGAAATGTACTGAAATGCTTATTGATATCATCAGTGTGTTTCAGTGACAGTCTTAATGAAATAACACTCCTTGGTTGACTATTTCTCAATAAGGAAATGACAGGCAATGTGAATTTTGCTTTATTTTAAATGAATAGAGTGTAAAAGTGAAGCCTTCCTAATATCAAACCTACAGATCACTTTAACATTGCTGGCAAAAAATAAAAGGTGAATCAATATATCCTCTATCATGATTCATAAAGACAAACTATGTATCAACCTGGAGACCTGTTAACAAGTTATAATCTGATCTTAAACTCTCAAGCTAAATCTTCACCCCCAAATCACAATTTTTAATAGTAACCACACTTTAAGACCTTTCATATTTTATGATCAGTCATAAGAAAAAACGAAGTTTGCTATTCTTGAGTATTTTTAGTATACTTCAGTGACCTAGTTATATTACTAATTTATGGGAAATAATTTTCTCTTTTCTATTTAATGTCCAATATCCCACAGATACTCTGGGCTTCTGTGTTGCTGTATATTTGTTTTATTATTTTGATGGGTGTTTCTTAAAATTTTTGTTTTGGGGGTCACAGCTAGCAGTGCTCAGTGCCTCCTCCCAGCTTTGGGCTCAGCGGACCAAAGATCGAACTGGACTTCCCACATACAAAGTATGTTCTTAGCTGTTGAACAATAGCTCCAGATCCCAAAAAGCCCTGTTTGTCTGTTGTTTGGTTTTTTATGTTAGAAAAGCACAAGGCAAGTATGACATTCAGTTATTAGAGTAGTTGTTTCACAATATTTTATGTCTCTCAGTTAAATAATCTTAATAATGTTACCATTAAGATTGTGAGCTCTAGGGCTTAAACCCATGTGATCTAGGTTAAAATTCCTAGGTTCAGCTTTTAACACTGACGCTACCTGGCTATGAGTTCTTGTGCAATTTCCTCATTTGTAAAGTGAACCGAGAAATTACACATATCTCACGAGGTAGTACTAGAGGATTAAATAGAATGACAAGGCTGGGGATGTATTTCGAAGTCTGGGTTGCGTGGTTTGCATGCTGGGGCCGTAGGTTTGATTCCCGGCCCCACATGATCTCCCAAGCACTGCCACATGTGACCTTTGTACACCGGGCTAGAAAAGACCGTCAGAGGCTTGAAAATTTAAATTTAAAAATGACAGATGTGAAGCACATAGTACTTACTAGTCATTAGCTATCACATTATTACTACTCTCGTACAACCACTATATGGGCAGAACCATTACTATGTTTTTCTACACGTTCATTTCTTTAGTAGTCACCACCAGCTTGAGTACTGAGTTTTTAGTAGTCATCAGCAGGCTGTAAGCTCCTGTTTTATATATGGGGACTCAGAGAACATTCAGAGCTTACCCGAATCTACATAGTGAGCTGCAGAGCAAGAGCATGAATTTTGTTCTCTCAATTGTCAATATCTTTCAAGTACATCCTGTGACAGAGAAACCTACAGCAGATAAAACTAAAAGAGTAGAGCTGTAGTTTAAGTGTTGATATATAAAGAATGCATAATCAATTTATTACTTGATTATGAGTTTCAGCTTCCAAGAACGATGATGGAATCACTGAGGAAGTTTAGTAATTCTGAGGAGGAAAGGTAACTCAGAAAAAAGTTGTTACTTGCATGAAATTTGTAACAAGCTATCCACCTTTGTAGAAAGTGTTATTTTCATTTGTCAAATTTCACATTAATAATAATAATAATAATAATAATAATAATAATATGTCTTTTATGGTATCTTTTTTCCCAGGAACAACAAATGAATAATGATAACACTGGATTTTGTCCAGAAGATTTGGAAATGTAAAATCAAAAATGTTAATTTAGGAAGAGTAGGCTGAAACAAAACAAAAACAAAACCATAGTGTCACAAAAGGGATATTTCTTGTCTTAGTATAATTCCTACAGGGGACTTGCCTTGTGCCATTGTCTCACATGTATGTCCAACCTGTTCAAATCAA